GAGCCTTGCTATGAGTTCACAAAAAAAATATTTTAAACTCCTGATACTGATGCGACACAGAGAAGCAAACAGGACATCTCTCCTCATTAGTCCACCTTTTAAAAAAACAAAACAACAACAACAAAACAAAACAAACAAACAAAAACGAACAACAACAAAAATTAAAGGAAGATAAACTTAGAAAAGAAAAAGTAATAACCTCCCTTTTCTTCACTCTTGACTCACAGTTTTCGAAAGGACTGACCCCACACACGTGTCAAGCTGATATTTGTGTTCACACAACGAGACATTCAACATGTTGCCCTAGCTCTGTTTGTAAAATTCGTTCCCTATTAGCATACAGACATTAACAATGATACCAACTTTCCACAAAGGGAGAATGTGAAAACCATACGAAAAACCACCATCTGAAATGTAAGAGATTTTGGGGAATTCATTACAGGTTAAGATCATACTTTTAGGGATCATTTCTAAAGTATGTCTTGCCGAGACGTCGAGTAAAATCGATCGGCACGTAGGCCTAAACCACGATGACGAGATTGCGTCAGTTCCTCTGAGCGTGAAGTTGAGGCTGGCATGACTACTGCTCTCGTAGTCAGGCCGTGTCTCGGTGAGGATCGTTCCTTTCCTCCCTCAGTGGGGACAAGGAGGGGGAACTGGCAATCAGAGTGGTTTTTCCTCTTTTTATAACAAATGACATGAATGGTAAACTGTTAGTTCTAGCTTGTAGCGCTTTAGTTATATCTAGTCTCTCTCTCTCTTTCTCACTCTCTCTCTCTCTTTCTCTCTCTCTCTCTCTTTCTCTCTCTCTCTCTCTCTTTCTCTCTCTCTCTCTCTTTCTCTCTCTCTCTCTCTCTTTCTCTCTCTCTCTCTCTCTCTCTCTCTCTCTCTCTCTCTCTCTCTCTCTCTCCCTCTCTCTCCTTCATCCTCAAACACAATGACCTTAATTGTATACCTCCAATAATGCATTATGCCTGCTACCAAATTAGTGGAGGCATATTATGTTGCTTTGGCGCTTGTCGTGCATGTGGTTCCGATAACTTTCACCCGAAACGAATTGTGCAGAAAGGCCCCGTACTCAAAATGCAACACAATTTGGCCATTATGAATGCCAAAGATAAGATTTGTAACTAAGGGGCAGAACAGGGAAAAGTGCAGAGCTGCCTAAATCTACCGATTTTTCCTGTAGATTCCGATTTTGGGCCTGTTCTGCCGCCATACCGATAAGGTGTCAAAACTACCGGATTTGCGATGGGTGCCGAGAGAATAAAAAGAAGAAAAAAAACATTCTGCAGTGCTTCCATTCACTTTGTTTTTACGGGAAATCGGTACATTCCGAAAGTTACGTACTTGCCGCATCATCATTTCAACTCCATGCGTTAAAAGAGAGAGAGAGACAGAGAGATCAGCACTTGCCTCCGTAACTTATCAGATATTTACGGCAACTCTCGACAATAAGTTGTATTAGAGACTGCCAGATTGCGCATTTCGTACTCTCGACCATTGTCTATCTGTGCCGTTCGGTCGGCAATAGTTTTTCACGTGCATATCGGCTAAAATCTGTCTACTCACGATAATCTTCCTCCTTCTTTTCTTTCTGTCTATCTTCAGTTTTTTGCTGCGGCTGGAAAATCTGAGCATTTAATTCATTTATCTAGAAAATGTCCACACATGAAAAGAATGCAATACTGTTATCTTATTATGTATATTTCTATTTGAATTTTGAAATTTCTGCGAGAAAAATAGTCAAGCAGTGAGCCTTGCTATGAGTTCACAAAAAAAATATTTTTAACTCCTGATACTGATGCGACACAGAGAAGCAAACAGGACATCTCTCCTCATTAGTCCACCTTTTTAAAAAACAACAACAACAAAACACAACAAACAAACAAAACGAACGACAAAAAAATTAAAGGAAGATAAACTTAGAAAAGAAAAAGTAATAACCTCCCTTTTCTTCACTCTTGACTCACAGTTTTCGAAAGGACTATGACCCCACACACGTGTCAAGCTGATATTTGTGTTCACACAACGAGACATTCAACATGTTGCCCTAGCTCTGTTTGTAAAATTCGTTCCCTATTAGCATACAGACATTAACAATGATACCAACTTTCCACAAAGGGAGAATGTGAAAACCATACGAAAAACCACCATCTGAAATGTAAGAGATTTTGGGGAATTCATTACAGGTTAAGATCATACTTTTAGGGATCATTTCTAAAGTATGTCTTGCCGAGACGTCGAGTAAAATCGATCGGCACGTAAACCACGATGACGAGATTGCGTCAGTTCCTCTGAGCGTGAAGTTGAGGCTGGCATGACTACTGCTCTCGTAGTCAGGCCGTGTCTCGTTGAGGATCGTTCCTTTCCTCCCTCAGTGGGGACAAGGAGGGGGAACTGGCAATCAGAGTGGTTTTTCCTCTTTTTATAACAAATGACATGAATGGTAAACTGTTAGTTCTAGCTTGTAGCGCTTTAGTTATATCTAGTCTCTCTCTCTCTTTCTCACTCTCTCTCTCTCTTTCTCTCTCTCTCTCTCTTTCTCTCTCTCTCTCTCTTTCTCTCTCTCTCTCTCTTTCTCTCTCTCTCTCTCTCTCTCTCTCTCTCTCTCTCTCGCTTTCTCTCTCTCTCTCTCTCTCTCTCTCTCTCTCTCTCTCTCTCTCTCTCTCTCTCTATATCTCTCGTTCCTTTCCTCCCTCAGTGGGGATAAGGAGGGGGAACTGGCAATCAGAGTGGTTTCTCTTTCTATTCATAACAAATGACATGAATGGTGGTAAACTGTTAGATTTAGCTTGTAGCTATTTAGATCTATGGTCTCTCTCTCTCGCTTTCTCTCATCTCTCTCTCTCTCTCTCTCTCTCTCTCTCTCTCTCTCTCTCTCTCTCCCCCCCCCCCTCTCTCTCTCTCTCTCTCTCTCTCTCTCTCTCCCTCCCTCTCCCTCCCTCTCCCTCCCTCTCTCTCCTTCATCCTCAAACACAATGACCTTAATTGTATACCTCCAATAATGCATTATGCCTGCTACCAAATTAGTGGAGGCATATTATGTTGCTTTGGCGCTTGTCGTGCATGTGGTTCCGATAACTTTCACCGGAAACGAATTGTGTAGAAAGGCCCCGTACTCAAAATGCAACACAATTTGGCCATTATGAATGCCAAAGATAAGATTTGTAACTAAGGGGCAGAACAGGGAAAAGTGCAGAGCTGCCTAAATCTACCGATTTTTCCTGTAGATTCCGATTTTGGGCCTGTTCTGCCGCCATACCGATAAGGTGTCAAAACTACCGGATTTGCGATGGGTGCCGAGAGAATAAAAAGAAGAAAAACAACATTCTGCAGTGCTTCCATTCACTTTGTTTTTACGGGAAATCGGTACATTCCGAAAGTGACGTACTTGCCGCATCATCATTTCAACTCCATGCGTTAAAAGAGAGAGAGAGACAGAGAGATCAGCACTTGCCTCCGTAACTTATCAGATATTTACGGCAACTCTCGACAATAAGTTGTATTAGAAACTGCCAGATTGCACATTTCGTACTCTCGACCATTGTCTATCTGTGCCGTTCGGTCGGCAATAGTTTTTCATGTGCATATCGGCTAAAATCTGTCTACTCACGATAATCTTCCTCCTTCTTTTCTTTCCGTCTATCTTCAGTTTTTTGCTGCGGCTGGAAAATCTGAGCATTTAATTCATTTATCTAGAAAATGTCCACCCATGAAAAGAATGCAATACTGTTATCTTATTATGTATATTTCTATTTGAATTTTGAAATTTCTGCGAGAAAAATAGTCAAGCAGTGAGCCTTGCTATGAGTTCACAAAAAAAATATTTTTAACTCCTGATACTGATGCGACACAGAGAAGCAAACAGGACATCTCTCCTCATTAGTCCACCTTTTTAAAAAACAACAACAACAAAACACAACAAACAAACAAAACGAACGACAAAAAAAATTAAAGGAAGATAAACTTAGAAAAGAAAAAGTAATAACTTCCCTTATTCTTCACTCTTGACTCACAGTTTTCGAAAGGACTATGACCCCACACACGTGTCAAGCTGATATTTGTGTTCACACAACGAGACATTCAACATGCTGCCCTAGCTCTGTTTGTAAAATTCGTTCCCTATTAGCATACAGACATTAACAATGATACCAACTTTCCACAAAGGGAGAATGTGAAAACCATACGAAAAACCACCATCTGAAATGTAAGAGATTTTGGGGAATTCATTACAGGTTAAGATCATACTTTTAGGGATCATTTCTAAAGTATGTCTTGCCGAGACGTCGAGTAAAATCGATCGGCACGTAAACCACGATGACGAGATTGCGTCAGTTCCTCTGAGCGTGAAGTTGAGGCTGGCATGACTACTGCTCTCGTAGTCAGGCCGTGTCTCGTTGAGGATCGTTCCTTTCCTCCCTCAGTGGGGACAAGGAGGGGGAACTGGCAATCAGAGTGGTTTTTCCTCTTTTTATAACAAATGACATGAATGGTAAACTGTTAGTTCTAGCTTGTAGCTATTTAGTTATTCTATAGTCTCTCTCTCTTTCTCTCTCTCTTTCTCTCTCTCTCTCTCTCTCTCTCTCTCTCTCTCTCTCTCTCTCTCTCTCTCTCTCTCTCTCTCTCTCTCTCTCTCTGACGCTCTCATCACACCGTCAGGGGCACTCTGTCTCTCTCCCACCCTTTTGCGGGGTGGGCTCTGCGGCCGGGCGCCTGACAGGCACTTCTGATTATAGAGAAAGATGGATAGAGAAGG